GTGCTGGAGGGGCACATCTGCATCCGCATTCTATCCAGAGCTGCTGGTCCCCTGCAGAATCCCTTCTCCGCATAAATCTGTTAGAACTGTGAGCCATCCGCAATGCCTGCTCCAACTTCCTGCCAGTCATCAAAGTCAAGACCATTCAGATCCTTACAGACAACCTGGCTTGTATGTTTTACATAAACAGACAAGGGAGAGCACGATCGCACTCCCTGTGCATGGAAGCCATGAGACTCTGGCAATGATGCATCATATGACTGGAGGGGTGTTAATGAGCTACTTCACCTGGAATGGTCCCTTGAAATATGTGTTATTTACTTATGCTAAACAATCTGTTCAAATCTTATATTTAGCAGTGGCACTTTGAGTTAGGCTATGTCTACACTGTGCAGCTTATAGTGACACAGCTGTGCTGCTAAAGCCTTGCTGCTGTAAGGTACACAGTGTAGCCGCTCTTTGTCTGCAGGAGAGAGCTCCCCTGCTGACAAAATAAAACCACCCCCAATGAGGGGTTGGTAGCTTCATTGTCAGGAGAGTCTCTCCCACCAACAAAGTGCTGTCCACACTGGTGCTTTTTGTTGGTAAAACTTTTGTTAGTCAGGGGTATGTTTTTTTCACACCCCTGAGCAACAAAAGTTTTACCAACGAAAGTGCAGTGTAGACATAGCCTTAGTTTCCCAGACCTGAAGAAGAGCTCTGTGTAAGCTCAAAAGCTTGTCTCTCTCACCAACAGAAGTTGGTCCCATAAAAGATATTACTTCACCCATCTTGTCTCCCTAATGCAGGGGTAATCAATAGGCGGACCATGATCCAAATCTAGACCAGACACTTTTGAGTGGACCGCAGGGGCAGAGGCGATGTATGGACAACTCCAGATGCCTTCGGAGGATACTCCCAGAAGCAAGGAGTTAGCACTCCTCCTGGCAGACGCATTGTGTGTGTCCCTGCAGTGCTGGGAGGGAGCAGCTGTGTATTAACGGCTAGGCCGACAAGGCAAATTTGCAGGGGCAGCAAATTTATAACAGGTTTCAGAGTAACAGCCGTGTTAGTCTGTATTCGCAAAAAGAAAAGGAGTACTTGTGGCACCGTAGCGACTAACCAATTTATTTGAGCATAAGCTTTCGTGAGCTACAGCTCACTTCATTGGCCACAGGCTGCTTCCCCCGGTGCTGGTTTGTGCCCTCCGCCCCCGTACCAACTCCACCCCTTCCCTGCCCCCACTCCCACCCCCTCCCTGTCCCTATTGGTCCTCTTCCCCAAATCCCTGCCCCGGCCCCGCCTCCTCTCCTGAGTGTGCCACGTTCCCCCCTTTTCCCCCCTCCTTTGCGAAGCTGTTTCGTGCACAAACACTGGCAGGGAGCGGGTAGAAGCAGGACCCGGCGGCGCACTCAGGGGAGGAGGTGGAGGTGAGCTGGGGCAGGGCGGGGTGGCAATTATTTCAGGGCCTAGGGGCTGCAAAATCTTTAATCCACCACTGGGAGGGAGGAAGCAGCAGGCTGAGCTCCTCCTTCTGTCCCCCTCACATGGGACTGCTTTGCCTTCCCTGCTGCTGGAGTCTCAGCACTGCTGCCTGCTTTGCAGACCATCTACAGCACTGGCTCTCAACCTTTCTAGATCACTGTACCCCTTTCATGAGTCTGATGTGTCTTGCATACCCCCAGGTTTCACCTCTCTTAAAAACTACTTGCTTAGAAGATCAGACATAAAAATCCAAAAGTGTCAGAGCACACTATTACTGACAAATTGCTTACTTTCTCATTTTTACCATATAATTATAAAAGAAATCAATTGGAATATAAATATTGTACTTACATTTCAGTGTATAGAGCAGTATAAGCAAGTCATTATATGAACTTTTATTTGTACTGACTTCGCTAGTGCTTTTTATGTAGCCCGTTGTAAAACAAGGCAAATATCTAGATTAGTTGATGTACCGTGTACCCCTGGTTGAGACTCAGTGATCTACAGGTGAGAGGCAGTGTGGGAAGGCACCATGGGGTTGGGGGCGGGAGAAGGAGCTGAGCCAGCTGCCCTGCTGCTTCCTCTCTTCCTGGCTGCAGGGACACATAGAGAGTGCCACTTCCAGGGGCGGTGCTGCCTCCTGGAAAATTGCGGGGGGGGGGGCATATGACCCCACAGAATCTTTCATTTGGGCCCCCCACTAGCCACAGTCACATATAGCCTCTGCATGCAGGCTGAAGCTAAGCACAGAGCCATGCTTGTGCTTCAAGTGGTTCCCATAGCCCCTCCCACCCCTAAGCGGTGCCCGGAGCCCGCTCCCTGACCTTGTGCCTCCCCTACCCAAGTGGTCCCTGGAGCTCCCCACCCTGGCTTCATGTTCTCCCCTTTCCTGTCCTTTGGGGCCAATCCCCAGAGTCCTCTCCAGCCCCTGCTCCTTCAGCCTGCCTCTTTCCCGTCCCAGTCCACTTCCAGTCACCTGCTTCTGCCACATCCCGGCCTCCCCCGTCTCTTCAGGGATGCTATCTGGAGTCTTATTGGTCCTTCCTGCTACCCAGAACCTCCTTCTTGTCCCTCTGCTATCCCAGCCCCCAAAAGGAGCATCGCACTGCTAGTGGATCATAGTCCAATAACTTCACCTTCTGGCTCCGAGCTCAAAAGTACTCACACACATTCACATCCAGCTTTGCTGCCCAACTCCCAGCCGATACCCATTCCTCTCCCACCCCATCTTTGCTATTTGGCTCAATTGGTGGGGAAGCAGCAACGCCATGTAGTTCAAACCAGTCCCGTGTGTCCCGTTTTCAGTTTAGGGAAATAAGGTCCCCTTACTCTCCAGGCAGGGAGGGTGGGAAGCTGGCAGGTGATCGGGAAGCTTGTGGGGCGGGGGGGGGGGCGCAATTGCGGGTTAGGAGAGGGGATCTGGGTGAGGGTCTGGACCTTGACTATACCTTGACCAAGAAATTTGGACCTATACAAAAAATAATTGACTGCCCATGCTCTAATGTAACTTCAGTCATATTTCCAGTATGAAGGAGGACTACAGAGAAGCACAGAATGTTTTTGTGAATACAAGTCTGTGACTTAACATGTAGGGCCAGATTTTTGGGGGGAGAGTGCTAGTACTCTGTGCAACTCTAGTGATTTCAGCTGAGTTTTATAACTCAGCACAGAATTTGGTTTGTTGTTTGGATATTTAATTAAATCATTGGTATTGGGTAACCAATTTTTATTGGAGTTGTGCATAACTTTCACTTTGTATCTTTCATACTTGAAATTGACGGTAAATCAGTTATTGTCTGCTGAAATGTATTTGATATTTGACATTTAAAAAGAAATTCTTCCATTCAGGAATTTAGCACTTTGGAAGATTTTTTCCTCTAGTGACATGCTACGTCTGAGGTAGCATTAAATGTGAAATATAAAAGAACACTAATACAAAGGAAATCTAGAATTCATTGGTAATTGTTATTCTTAATATCATTTTAATATCAATTATGAAAATACATGCATCCCAACAGATTTTTGTCTAGCACAGCTGCCAGTATTTTTTTTACTAAATGTTAATACAGTGATAAACTGAGTCTTATTGAAGACCATTGTATTGTATGACTTGCCTCTCTTTATGTAGCTCATTTAGATACAGTGTATTTTTCAATACTCCTTCATCATGATAGACTGTATGGCTTGATTCCCAGTCACCCATAAGGTTATATTGTATTCTTCCATTTAAATCATGGCCCAGATTTTGTGGTAAATCAAATGCATAATTAGGCCACATATAAATATTATTTCCTTCAACTGTAAATCAACCAACGCTTTAGCAAGGCTATATTTTACACATCATTTCCAATTTCTTTTTCCTGTGGGAGTTCCATATTAACTTGTAATATAGTAATCATACATTTACATTTTGTATTTAAAAGCATGTCAAAACATACTATCTTTAATATATACTTTATTATAGTAAAGAACTGAATACTAGTTCCCATAGCTTTTAGTTTTCAAATCAGTCATGTTTTTGAATTTCTAGGACATGCATATCAACAGATGTCTGCTGCATTTGGGGACCTTAGATATATTTTCTACTTAGAAAATTTTCTACTGATAGAAATTAAGATGCTATTATGTATATCTTTAAGGAATTAGTTATGCCACCCTGAGTCACACTGAGTAGTATAGGAAATCAGCAAGGCTATACAGGACTATCAGGAGTAAGGTACCATTCAGTGTAACTCACTGCTAAGTCACTAAGGATTTATTCTCCTGTTTTTGTTTATGCATAAGAATAGATCTCATTGACATCGCTGCAAGCTACATGTACATATCAAGGGACAAATAGTTTCCCAGTAGGTTAGATTTTGCTCTCAGTTATTCTGATGTAAATCCAAAATAACTCCAATGAATATAGGAAAATTATTCTGGATCTTCACAGATGTCATTAAGAACAGGATGTGATCTGATCTGATAGTGGTCTTAATCCGAGAGTAGAATATGAACCTCAGTATTCTTACATGGTAAAAAACTGAACATAAAGGGAAAAATTCTGATCTGTGATTGACATCAGAGGGGAAAGTTATACTTTAGATAGACACTAGTATAACTGAAATTAGATTCCAGCCCACAGACTTTGAAAATGACTCGTAATTAGATCTCGGTGAAATTTTTCAAACAAAACTTTGTGAATTAATGTTGAATTTGCTAAATTGTTTAGCAAAGAAAGAAATGTTTAATTTTGACATTTTTTAAATGAATCATTTTGATTTTTTGATTGAAACTACTGTTTGAATTTTGCTTCAGTTTAATTTTTTTTAAAGGTAAAATCAATGATGTCAAATGAAACAAAACGTTCAACCACTGAACGGAAAAATCAGTTATTCACACAGCTCATAATGACAAATGTGTGTAGCACATTTCTCAAATATTTTAATTCACTGCTTGTACATTATACACTTATCCATAGTACTGTAACCATAGATTTAGCGTGCATGTTATTTTTATTTTGTATTTGTGCTTTAATTCTTTTGATAAATGTTTAGGTTGAAATAAATCTAAAACGTTATCCAACTCCATACCCAGAAGATTTAAAGAACATGGTAAAATCTGTTCAAAATCTGGTTGGCAAAACAAGCCATGGAGTGAGGCCTGAGAACTCAACACCAGCTGCCAACAGTGAGCAAACTATGAAAGAAAAGTATGAGCACAAGTGGCCTATGGCAGCAAAGGAGATTTCAGTGGAGGTAATATTACAAGATTATTGTTACTTTCCAGAGCTCAATGTGGGTTTTAACCTGACTCCATTACATAGTTTTATATCTGATCTTAAAATCATAGGCAATTGTTTCTGGTTTTAACTTTTTTATTAGAATCAGATTAATTTTTCCTAGTTTTTCTTTAAAATTAATTAAGACTCATTTTCTAAATTTTCATAAGGATCTATTCTGCTGTTCATGTGTGTCTGTAACTCTCCTAAATTTTAATGGCAGTGAGATATACATAGCAGTAGCAGAATAGAGCATATAATTTACATGTCAGTCATATGCTCATAAGTGTCTTCTTGATTCAGATACGTAATGACAAATATAATGATTTAGGGCAAGAGTCTGCCATTTACTCACATTGAGTCTGATCCTAAGGTTACTGAAGTCAACAAAAGTCTTTCCATTGACCTCAATGAACTTTACGTCAGGCCCATTCAATAGTATTTACTGCAGAAGTCTCATAGATGTCAATTGGACTACTTATGAAGTAAGGTACTATTCATTGTGAGTGTGAGTTGCAGAACCTGCTCCTTAAAAAATAGATACTTACCAAGAGAAGGTAAGTCCTTATATTGTCCTCATATTGTAAAAGGCTGCAATTCTAGCGTGAACATTGTTGAAAGTTATTTCCAAAATTTAGTACTAGGTATATGGAGCCAAATTCAGAGCTGGTGTAAGTCAATTCCTTTGATCTCAGTGGACATTTGCTCACTTATACAAAGTCTGAAGTTAGCCTCTTTTTAAAACCAATTAATTACAATTTAAAAACACGAATTACAGCTGTGATGATGCTTGCAGTACTTACTGATCATTTTATAACATACCTGGAGAGATCCATGGAAAGCACCTCACACACTTTTGGAAGCCTCTACAAAACCCAGATTTTAAAAAAAAATAAATTAGAAAATAAAGTCATTCAATCTTTATCAAATTTTCTTTTCACTTCTTTGTAATTTAACTGTTACAATTGATGCATTATCCTTGAGAAGTACCACCCTGTGGCCGGCTGTTGCTGTGTAATTACATTAATTTGTCTTCTCCCATTGTGCACGTACCACTGCAGATTGGGTTGTTTTCACACATCCAATAGTCCTAGTAACCGTTGCTCCACTTATTGCACTGGTATGTGTTTCATTTACAGTGACAATATTTCCATTTCTTTTGGGCTTGTTCTTATTAAAGCACACTTTAGCACACTTATTTTCCCTTGGGACTGCTTCCACAAATGTTCACAAAATCTAGGTACTGCTTCAGCTGGGTTCTTTGAATCAGAGTTTTCAAAATCAAATAATTTGCTGTTTTCTTTAAATCCTTGAATCCAAATGTTATTTCTTTTAACTCTCTGAAATACATTCTAATCATTTAACTTTCACCAAATGTTGTTACAATCCTGTTCCTTCAGTCAGGGTGTTTGTGCCATTTTGTTCTCATCAACTAGATAAATCTGTATTATATCATTTATAATATAATATATTATAATATATTATATATTATAATATATTATATATATATATTACAGCAGGGAGCCCGGAGCCCAGGTGGCACCTGGTCCAGGAGCCGGGAGCCCAGGTAGCAGCTGGGCTCCCAGTGGGAAACAGAGAGCCCAGGTGGCAGCCTGGCAGGGAGCGGGAAGTCCAGGTGGGGGACTAGGGAGCCCGGGCGGTAGCCTGGTGCGGACCGGGGAGCTGGGTGGCAGCCCAGCTGGGAGTGGGGAGGCATCAGGGCTCTCAGCGGGGAGCCAGGAGCCTGTGTGGCAGCCCAGCCTGAAGTGGGCACCATGGGTGGCAGCCAGGCAGGAAGCCAGGAGCTGGGGGGGCAGCCCGGGTCTAGCTGGAGCTCCCCACTTGCCACAGGGTAACAGCCCAAGCTGTGAGCCACGTGTGGGGTTCATAGCAGGGAGCCTAACAGCCTTTCTTTTCAATTTCACGGTTCTGGATGGGAGCTATGAAATTGACAAGCATGACAGCCCACAGCGGATGTAAGTAACAGTGTCTATATGGACACTGCGCTGCCCTAACTACACCAAGCTAATCCCTGTGCATCTTGTGGAAGAGGAATTATGATGTTGCTGTAGTAAGGCATTTACATCGGTGGGAGCAAGGCTGTAGTGTAGACACTGACACAATTAGGTCAGTGTAAGGCAGCTTACATTGACCTAACTCTGTAGTGTAGCCCAAGCAATAGAAAATAAAGCTTTCCAAAAGAGCCACCTGTCTGATTCAGACAACATTCATAACTTGACTTTGAAAATCCCATACAGGAAGAAGAAAGAACATACAGAAAGTTCAGAGGTACAATAAGAAACTTAACATGCAGTGTGCGTCAAAAATTACAGTATATCACAGCTTGAGAATGCTACACATGTACATTTTCAAAAAGGACATTGGATGATAAGTTTGTATACTGGGATGGAAACTGACTGATGCATTGGCAAAATTTTATTAAATAATGGCCAGCTTTAAGTTGTGTGTGTATTTATTATGTTGTATAGGAAATACAAAATAGTATAAAGGAACTGTAACTCTGGTGTATCAAAATAATTTAAGGTCTTGAATATATTACAATAAACATAGAGTATGTGTAAGAAACAAATATATATATTTGTTGTGCCAACATTGAGGGACTGACTAAACTGGCTGACAAGGAATGTAAGGAATTTTGAGAAGGCATAACTACATGTAAGGCAAAAACATTAAACTATCACTACAGAAGTATAATAGTACTCTCGAAGGACTGTATATGTGGCAATCCTCTCACTTATATTTGCTTTCAATCATGTTACTAAAAGCAATTAATAAAGTATAAACCTTATAAAACTATGAAAATAAGAGCAATAGTAACATGGTTTTAGTGTACAATATTGTACATTTTTAATTAATGAAATTGTGTTTTCGAATATTGCATCTCTTTCCCTCCTTTCATCTTCTCCACAAAGTCATTTAACTCACTATTGATGGAATAACTGCCAACAAAGTGCTGGGGACACAGAGCCTTATAGTGCCTCAACCACCCTCCACCTTCTGAAGCAGAAGTGCTCAGCTACAAGTATACCTCCAGCAAGGCTCAAACCACCTCTCTTCCCCCAACATTCCCTCCATCACTCCTACTTATAAATGTCAACTTTTTCCTCCCTCTCCCTTCTAACACCACTCATTCTCTACCTCTCTCTCTACCACCAACTCTCCTCCGCCAAATGTCCATTCTTCTCCCATGACAGAGACCATCATCCCCTCTTCCCCAAACCTGTGTCCACTCTTCCCAGAAGGTCTTTTCTGAATCTGTCTTCACCCTAACTCATCGACCATCCATGTCTCTCCCCAAGGCTGTGTCCCATATCAGCCTTCCTGCTCCTTGAGGCTGGGTACCCCCCACAAGACAATCCCTTGGAGCCTGTGTTCCATCAGAGTGACCCTTATGGCTGCATTCCATAACTGCCTTCCCAGGGTTTCCCCCCCCCCAGGCTTAAATCCACCGTGTAACTCCTCTAGATAGTGTGTTTTCCACTATCTCCCTTCCCCCGTTGTGTCCTTCACAAGGTCTCCATGTGCAGTCTCCTCCTCATACCTGAACCATGTCCATATCATGATGGGAAGGGAAGAGAAGAAGCACAGAGAACAGTCCCTCTTCATATCTCCATTTCTTTCACTTAGCTGCCCTGTTCTGTGAGTTCCTAATTTTAATTACTCCTCCGTGGTTCAAGCCACTATCTCACTTCCCTTCTTCCTCTTTCTTGTTTCTTGGTGTTTTCAGAGCATATCCGATAGCTGGTTAGTACAGAAAATCAGTCAGATTGGAGATGTCAGACAGTGCAGCTTTTGGGCCCAGTTACATGTATGGAATCATAAAGATTCTCAAAGAGGGAAGCAGCAACTGTCTGGTTGGAAATGAAAAACAAAGGGATAAATTGGGCTAAAACACTTCTGAGTGAAGTAAGAGATCATCAAGCAGTAGCAGCTGCTAGGTGAGTGGATCATGAACAAATGGATGAGTCTAGAGCATTTCTGACTGGAGGTTGGGTTGTTGACTTAACAAGACAGTTTTATGGTTGAGCTGTGGACAAAGAATCTAATGCTGGAAATGACAGCTGTAAAAGAGGAGCTACTGCTGGGAACAACTGAGAAGGCCCCTCAACCATAAATTATTTTACTTTTTAAATTAAATGGGTTCAATCTTACACAATCTAAGGACTCAATATGAATTTATTTCCGTACTAGGAAGGCAAAAGGGCAGGGTCTAAGAAATCCATTGAGTTAATTCCCCTTACTCTTCCTTATCAGCCCCTAAAATCAAAATATTGTTGCTCCTTTTGACCCGAGCAGCAAGTCAAAGTTTGGGGTCCAGTGAGTGTACCAGTTGGGAATAGAAATTGGTGGTAGTCAGGTAATACAGTTTTTTTTATTTACAAAGCATGTACGAAGTCCTCTGTCTCTGACCACAGAAGGAATGAAATAGCACGAAACAGCTTCTTTTGCTCATAGCACCAGGAGCATTCTTTCCAGCCTGTGGTCCTGACCCAAAAACCTCTCCCTAGGCTTCTTTCAGGGACAGCAATCATACTTTCAATATCATACTCCCTTCTGTGTGTGCGGGTGTGTGGGTCCCCCCCCCTCATTCCTTCTCAGTTTCTCCGTGTCCTGTCTTCCCATACACACACCTGCCCAAAACAATACTTAACAAAAGCTTCTAGGTGGGTTCATGCACTCCTTTTGTCTTAGTTGGGGCTTATGCTTACCGTTAGGTGTGAATTCACCATTCAGTTAACATATGAACCACAATCCCATAACAAGGTTTCATCCAATTCATACAATATCAGAAACAATACTTAAGGGGGAACCATGAATTATTAGATTTGTGGATTAGCGGACCTGGGTTCTATTCCTGGCTCTGCCATTGATTCACTGTGACCTGGGGCAAGTCACGTGACCTCTCTGTGCCTCAGTTTCCTTATCTGTGTGTTGGGATAATAGCGCTTACTTATCTTGATAAAATTATTTGAAATATATGGATGAAAAAGAAATATGTAAATGCTAGGTATTGTAAAACAAGGGTTTTATAAGTAGATCAGAGATGAGTCAGAATCTTTGGGATTCTATCAGACCATTTAAAGTTCTCCCTGCATTTCCAACCCTAATTTTTCTTTACATTATTGTTTAAATTCTGTGAACCTAGTGAATTTTGATATTCAAAATCTTTTTCAATTTAATCCTAATATGAATTATTCTATTAAAGAGAACTGTAAACTATAATTTCTAAAATAAACTTTCAAGTCATAATTAACCAAATGTGTCAGAACACATATTTTAACCAATAAAAGCACACGTTTTGTTTAAAAACAGAAACAAATGACTTATCAGTCTAATTCTTTGCAGGAGGGATTTTAGCAGCACACATCTTGTTTACATTATGTAGGAAACCTTTTGAAATTCAGCCAGATTAGCATTTGCTCTCAAAACACAGGGTTAACATTATTATTAGCCTAAATTCATAGAAAATTCTTTTGGAGCCAAGATAGCTGTTTGGTTCAGTGCAGATGTAGGGACAGTTGAATTTGTAAAGATCTGTCCTATTGTAGTTGGAACAAATGAACGAGTAGTACTTAATTCGTCAATAAGTGAATAGTTTTTTCTAAATTTTCATTCATTTCTACTTAAATTTTACATTTTTGTAAGCTTTACTCCATCAAGAATGTGTGTGTGGTTTTGACACATCTCAAGTTCTATCTAGTTCATCTGCATTTTCAGAATAAACACGCTATCATCATAATATTAGTGCTTTGTTATAATATTTAATGAATAAGTAGAACTGTAGTGTGACAAATTCAGCATGATTAGAATGATATTGTCTGTGCCTGGGTTTATGTAGTTCCATGTTCATGACAAATGTGGCTGTTTCTTCATTGCCTTCTGCAAGTCCACCTTATTATAGTTTTATTTTATACTTCAGTATTATTCTCTCTCTCAGGATTCCTTTGGACACCCTGCTAATGACATGAGGATAGGAGAACTTCGCCCTTCAGTGGCTGAGGCTCCCTTGTACCAACCCAAACTTGTTCTTCTGGGTAAAGAAAAGAAAGGTACTACAGTATGTTGACTCCCAAAGGTATTCAGTGAAGGCATGTTTAATGCGTGCTGCTAGATAGATGAGCTAGAAGTAATACATTGTGCTGGGATGTATTGGATACTACACTCTGATTTGCAGATATCTTACAAACATGTTTTTAAATATATGCATAATATCAGTTTGAACATTTATTTTTCCAGTATGTTTAGTTTCCGAATGCTCCAACCCCACATAATGCTTGTTCTATTTTATTTCAGAATCAACAGATGAATCTGAAGCAGATAAAATCCACTGTCTCAATAACAGTGTTTCCTCAGGCACTTACTCAGACTATTCACCTTCCCAAGCTTCCTCAGGGTCCTCTAACGCTCGTGTTAAAATGGGGTCCTTGCAAACAACTGCCAAAGAAGCAGTGAATAATTCTTTGTGGGGTAACAGGTGTGTATATGTTTACTGGGTCTGATTCTCTGTTGCCTCTCACTTTGTGTAGTCAAATACAGCTGGGCAAAGTGAGGGCATACTGGGTATTTAAGGCTGTCAAACAAGAAGAGTACCATTTTACACCCATTTTGCCCTGGTGGAGATAACAATACAAGGTGAAGACAGTGGAGAGTCAGGTTCGCTATTATATTTTCTAAAGTGAAATAACCACATACTGAAAGTGCATAGATCCTGAGCTGCAGCTGAGGAGTGCTTGGCACACTTTAGGATTGACAGAATGCTTGTAACCTTTATACTCCCACAGCCCTCAGTTTGTCCTAAAATAGGACCCCTGCACAAATAAGAGAAGCCTGAAAGCTGCTTTAATTTTCACTGGTTATCAACAGCCTGAAGGGGATCATTGTAGCAGCTGGAGATTGCCAGGGCAGAGGGCTCTTCCCCAGCCATGCCCCTACACTGGCAACACAGAATAGAAACTGCTACAGCAGCTCTTTGCCACTGAAATGTGTCCCTACACATGGGGAATCCTCCACAGGCAGGTTAAGCTTGCTTTATGGGTACACCATTCCGTTGCTGCAGAAGCACAAAGCTGTCCAACTGGACAAGAGGATCAGGGCCATCATGCATCAAATTTTCAGAAGCTTCATTTTGCAGCCTGGAATTGTGTTAATTCCTGGATTTATGACAGCAGAGGCTTTTATAGATGAATTATTTTGTGCAGAGTTACCCACTTTGCTGAAAAATAAGTTATATTACATACAAAAAAATGTTAAAACAGTTATTTAGGTTGCAAAACTAAGCTCTGACAAGTTAGAAAATGCCAGATTTTGTGACAAAGCACCGGCATAATTTCTATATGTATTGTAATATAATCCAAAGAGATAGATATACATGAGAAAACATTAGGATGTTTTTGGAGGTTTCAGAGTAACAGCCGTGTTAGTCTGTATTCGCAAAAAGAAGAGGAGTACTTGTGGCACCTTAGAGACTAACCAAGGTGGTTAGTCCTTTTCTTATTAGGATATTTTGTAAGACTTTCTTTCTGCTGATACTCACTTATTTTAACAGAGGACCTGATAGTCTTCATTGCATTTTATTTTTACTTTTTGCAGGCTTGCGCAGTCTTTTCCACAGCCTCTTGAGACAAAGCCATTACTCAGCCAGCTAGAGTCTGCTCCAGTGGGAAATCTGCAGCAGCGCAATGATAGGCATCCAATGAGTGACACTTTTGCTGACAGCTGGAATGATACCCCACACTATGATAACACAGGGTTTGTTGCAGAGGAGAGCACAGTGGAGAATCCTAGCACTAACCCTCTCTTATGCTCTAAATCTAGAAGCACATCTGCTCATGGACGCAGGCCTTTAATTAGACAAGACAGGATAGTTGGCATTCCCCTGGAACTTGAACAGCCTACACTCAGAAACACACCTGAATCAGAAGTGCCTCCTCCCAATCCTTGGCAGAATTGGACCAGAACTCCAAGTCCTTTTGAAGATAGGACAGCTTTTCCTTCTAAATTGGAGAGCACCCCCACCACCAGCCCTTTGCCTGAAAGGAAAGATCATATCAAAGAATCTCCTGAAGCAGCTAGCACTTTTTCTCCAGGAGTAGCATGGGAGTATCATGATTCAAATGCTAACAGAAGTCTTAGTAATGTCTTTTCACATATTCATTGCCGTCCAGAATCTTCTAAAAGTGTTATTGCAATAAGCAAGAGTACAGAGAGGCTTTCCCCAATGATGAGAGATTTAAAAACTAGTAAATTTAAGAAGTCGCAAAGTATTGATGAGATCGACATTGGTACATATAAAGTTTATAATATTCCATTAGAAAACTATGCATCCCGTAATGACAATGCAGGAACCCATGAAAGACTAGATAAAATGGTAGGACAGGAGCATGGTATGTCTAGTATGTCTCGTAGCCAGTCTGTACCAATGCTAGATGATGAGTTACTGAGTTATGGAAGTGTTAAGGTACAGCAGCAGCAAAAGCCTTCTGTAACCAAAAAAGTCTATCAGTTTGACCAAAGCTTCAACCCTCAAGGAGCAGTGGAAGTTAAAGCAGAAAAGAGGATACCACCACCTTTTCAACACAATCCAGAATATGTTCCCCAGCAGAGTAAAAGCATTGCCAAGGATTTGGTTAGTCCAAGAGCCTATAGAGGATATCCCCCCATGGAGCACATGTTTTCATTCTCTCAGCCTTCAGTTAATGAGGAGGCTGTTAGTGCTCAGTTCTCAACCCAGGGATCAAGGTCAGGATTTTTGAGAAGAGCAGATTCATTGGCAAGCTCCACTGAAATGTCAATGTATAGAAGAGTAAGCGAACCTCACGAACTGCCTCAGAGTGATAGGTATAGCAGACCTCAGTATAGAGCAGCTATGGAACGCCAAAGCAGTATCTCAGTGTCTGAAACCCAGTTCCTCAAAAGGAATGGCAGGTATGAAGATGAACACCCTTCATATCAAGAAGTGAAAGCCCAGTCTGGAAGTTTTCCAGTTAAAAACCTTACACAAAGGAGGCCATTGTCTGCAAGAAGCTACAGTACAGAGAGTTACGGTACATCTCAGACTAGACCAGTTTCAGCTCGGCCTACAATGGCAGCTCTATTGGAAAAGATACCATCAGACTATAACTTGGGTAACTATGGTGACAAGCCTTCAGATAACAGTGATATAAAGACAAGGCCTACCCCTGTGAAGGGAAATGAGAGCTGTGCTAAAATGCCTGCTGACTGGAGACAACAGCTACTTAGACATATAGAAGCTAGAAGGTTAGACAGGGTATGTTTGACATTTCTCTGGAATTAATGCTCTAGTTTTATATTTTAATATTTCTAAGTATGTGCACGTACAGTGGTGAATATACATATTTCTGATTCTGAGATTCCCTGTATTTGTGTTATGGGGAACTCCTCTGTGAAGGATTTTGTTAACATAAGATATATAATCAATTAGTATTGGGGGTTCTTGGGTAAATGATTTATGGAGGCTTATGTATAAAAGTGTTTGGTACCAAAAAACCTGCTTCATTTAGTTACTACTTTTGGAACTGTCTGAAACACTACAACCATAATTTCTATCAAAGAGCAGTATCAGCCACAGTAGAAGATTCTGAAATAAAACTAGAAAGGACTGAATCTTAGTGGAAAAATCTAATTTTTACTTAAAAATATGAAGTTCCCTATTCAGCTTTGTAAGGGCTATTTCATGGTGTATTTTAGGAAAAAATTGAAAAAACTTTTTAAAACTCATTTAGATGGCAGTATAGGTACCAAGATTTTCAGTTTTTGGTCTTAACTCCACTTAAAAAGTAGAGTAAGGGTCTGATGCTGGCTGTACCTCTAGGAAGTGCACAGCAGAGTTTGAGGAGGAGGGGCCAAAGATGGCTTTATGTCACCCACCTTTGTGTCTGTGACACTTTGGGGTTCAACCCAGATCAGTAAGGGGTGTGTCACCACCTGCTTTGAAACTCTGGGTGCCTTAAATGTTATGTTGTGGTGGCTCACAGCCCTGATACCAACAGCCTGAACACAAGCATGCATGTCAGACCCTGGCTTCCACTGCTTAGTTACTGTTTCAGAGTGACCCCAAGACCCTCCCAGTCCTGAATTTCCCCCAAACCATCTGCTGTGTAGTGTCCAGTCCTTCTGACTGTAGCACTCACAGAATCTTATTAAGTTTGTTTCTCCTTTAAAGAGACTATACTCTGCAGCTTATTAATCTAACTGGGGTTTGACAATCACCGTTATTTCAATCACAGCACTGGTCGGTTTAGATAAAAGGTAAAAACAAGCTTATTCAATCAAAAAGAGAGAGATTTAAGTGAGGATAAGGGGTAAAAATAGAGAGGGTTACCAACAAACAAAAGTCAAAATATGCTTTCTAATGGCAAAGATCTCACTTAAGCTACAGTCTTTGGTGAGGAAACTACCTTGTATAATCTTCCTTTTCCAGCAGTCGGTGACTAGCTCTTGGAATCCCCACAGAGTCCAAGGCGCTGGTTTTCCTTGTCTCCTCAAGTGAAGAATAACTTAGGGGTTCTCTGCTCCTCTCTTTATAGTCCAGTAAACCTTTGAAAAGTATCTCTCTGAGTTCATTGACCCTTCTTCAAAGGGCAGGAAGGCTTCCTGGGAGTGCAGTCTCCATCCCCCACTGACAATGTGATCACTTTTTCCCCACTTGCACTCCTTATGGCTTTTTTTGCCTGGCATGCAAATATTCTTTTGTCACACCTTACTCAATTTAGATGGAATATACATGCAAGCAGACGCAACCACATTCCTTTGTTCGGGGGGGGGGGGGCAAAAGATTATTTTATCAACTCCTTCTGATATGCCTGGTTTAAACACGTTTTAGTCATAACTCCAGAAAATCTGTATAATTCCTTGTGGGTTGACAGTACATACATCATGCAAGAATATTAATGATCAGTGAGTTATTCATTTTCCAGTGATATATTACATGACACCTTTTAAATATATATCGTGACAAGTGTTAGCTGTAGTGAGTATGTCAGGCCTCACAGGAGTTGCTGACAGAGTAGCGAACCCCCAAGGGACCTCTGTGTCACAGCATACTTCAGATTCTTGGCTGCTCTAGGGTCAAAAATGGTCCCCAGCGAGGGTGACCTTATTTCCCTAAGGGAAAATGGGATACTGTGTAGGGCTCTTCCAAGTCTCTCATCCAATCCCCCAAGCAGAGCTGGTCTGAGCTGCTTGCCTGAGTTCCCTCCTGCATGCAGGGCTATCCCAAGCCACCTGGCATCACTGCTTGCCTGAACCCCCCTGCATGGGTCTGGCGTTTGCCGCTCACTCTCCCCGGGATTGCCAACCTTGCAGGATTGTCCTGGAGTCTTCAGGAATTAGACTAATCTTTGATTAAACATTATGTCATGTGATGAAACCTCCAGGAATACGTCCAACCACAACTGGCAACCCTACTCCCCCCTCCCCAAACATTCTTCCTTGCCCCATTGGAGAGGGTGCCCCACTTTTTGGGCAAAACTGGGCATTTGTCCCAAAAATCAGGACACCCGGGTAGGGCTTAAAAAGGACACTGTCCTGACCAAAATGGGATATATGGTTACCCTATCCCCAGCATAAAGTGTATAGCTAACATACAGTAGCCTATCTTCAATGATCTAGGTGCTGCAACATAACCCATAACCTCCATAGTGCCATGCATTATGGACCTGCCCCTTATAATGCCTCCTTACCTACCCCTGTCATCCCCCTGTGCTGGAGCTTGCAGATAGGACAGGATAAGGCCATGCAGGGAATTATTTTGTGGCCCCATAAGGTGCTTTTTAAGCCCTACTATGCTGCCACAGGCAGGAGTCAGAAAATCTGTTCCTAAAGTTTCATAGCACCAAAGCTACCTCTGAAGCACAGCTGAGTGCCACATTGGGTTAGGAGAAACATGGAACGTTTCCCACTGAAGCCTCACCACTTGAACTCCTGATTGTCACATTTTAAAGGCTACTTGTGCATCCTTTGTCAGACAGGCCTGCAAGAAAAACAGGCACCTTGGCTGCTGTGAATTTTTACTTTCAAATAAAAGGTAAATTATCTACTTTCCATAGAGGCTCAACCACCTCCAAATCTTGGCAACCAGATTTAGACCTTATCTTTGATGTCTAATTGCCAACACTCTTCAAATGGCCAAATTTATGGGAATTGCTTGTTTTCCAGATTAGGATTCAGTACTCCCAGTTTAGTTTTGTAAGTAAAGGTTCAACTTTAAAGCAGGGCCAGTATTTGAAAAACACCAAAGCCAGGCTGGAAAAGGAAAGAAGGAGTTGCTGGGGGCTGGCGACTACAAATCAAAGCAATATTGCCTTTAAAAATAAAATTAAACTAGGCAATTAAAAAATTATACTGTTTTTCCTCTTCCTTTTTTTTTTAAACCCATCTAACTTACATAAAGGATAGCTGGATAGTAGATTTGTTTTTTATATAAATGAGATGATTTCGTAATAAGGGTTCAAATTCTGCTCTCATTTACAGATGTGCAATAGGGGTATACTTTAAGGCAGAATATGGTCTGTGGTTGGTAATGTATCATTCATGACTAATTGGGGTTTCAAACATGACATCACTTTAAAATAAAAAAGGTCAAACCAATGAAAACTACTGACTAGAGCTGGTCAGAAAATTGATTTTCCATCCGTCAAAAAATTTTGAGATTGTGAAAAAAAATTCATTCTGAATTGGGACATAAAGCTGGAATTTTGAAATTTTTTGCAGAATTAAACTCTGGGAAAAAATTGTTTAGGGTCACTAAAAATGTTTTGTTTTGATATATATGACATTTTCAATTTTGATTTTGATCCCCCTTTTATTTTTATAAAAAATAAGTAAATTTTAAACGAAAAGATGTTTTGAAATGAAAAATCAAAACTTTGTTCTGAAAATTTTGAAATAGGATGTTTTGACATTTTCAAAATGATTTCCAATTTTTAAATGAAATTTCACTGAAATCCATACAATTTCACAAAAAAATCAGTTTAATCAAAATGGTATTTTCTGAATGAAAACTGTTTTAACAAAAATTTTCCAGTCAGTTCTACTTCTGACAATCACTAACCGAAGCCATATTAAAGTAAATAATTGATTGGTCTAGGTTTTGAAGACAAACTCATTATGACTTTTCTTCTCCAGCTTTGGGATGGTAGTGGCTTTCAGAAGTTCTTCATACATGACTCCATTGCCTTTAATATGCACTCTTCATGGAAAAACTAACTCAGAAGGCTTAATTCTTTTGATTTCCAGGAGTCCTTACCAAAAGAAAAATGGAACCTGCTAATGGTTTTGTCAGAAGTGAGATGGGTGTACTGCTGAAACCCTACCTTTTCAGTAATGCTCAGAGAGCATTGAAAGGCTCTGGATAGTGTTTGGCAATAGTGTATTACAAATACATCATAGCTTTTTAAAAAGAGGGAAAAAACATAAGTAAACTGTCAAAAATGTATTCTAACCCTCATTGGTGTTTTTAGGGGGCAATATTAAACCTGTAGCTTATTTAACTTTGTAATGGTAGCATTGGATATGCACAACTATTGCTTTTCAGTGTGGAGATTATTGTTATACCCATTTAGCTGTAGAAAGATGAGCATGTTTATTTTCCATGCAAAATATAGTATTGATGATATAATATTTCTATGCATGGTTTGACTATCCAGCCAAAAATACACTTTATAAATATGGGCTTGTTTCATAAATCAAAGCGGCTTTGAAAAACTGCTGTGGTCTAATGTGTAAATTATATGCATTTTTAAAATGTATTCAAATACATAATTTATGCTGGATCTTAACAACTCTGAAGTCAAGATACCCATTGCTATTCATGTACTAAAGAATGATGCATATTAAAATAACATTAAGGCTCAAACAGACAAACTTTAAAAAATGTATCTTCAAGATTGAAACTTCTTCCTTACCTCCGTTGCTGTACATGTGGTATGTAAAATTACTCCATGTTTGGAGACCACATAATACCTAATGAAAATGTGGTATCTTAAGAACAGAGGTTTCAGGCTAAACTTTGTATTTTCTGGATTTTGTTGGTTTAGGACATACTTTACAATTATTTTAAATATTTGTGTTTGGTGTAAGGAATACATTCATTCATATAAAGCATGCAGTGAAGATCCTGATTAATTAAATTAGGTTCATATTGATTAATGCAATTGAAAGTGATCTAATATACAGTAAATTTGCAGTATACAGTCAGAAACTGAGACTGTGACCATGGCGATACTTTGCACAAGATCAGTTTTATGGACCAACCTTTATGGAGATGTAGGAAGTGTAACAACCTTCATGTAAAAGGTCTTTGCTCCAGATGAAAACATATTGTGCTAACTGATGGAATTCTCAACCCAAACATATCAGGTTGCCTGTGCAGCTGGTTTGTAGCTGCTAATAAAGGAAATGGGCAGTAGTGGATCCAGCCAGCTGATCCTGTCATGTGGAATTTTGGTCCATTTAGTCCATGCGTGCACAGACCCATTCACTGTGTGTCTGTCCCAACCAAAATCCTCTCTTCCACAAAGAGCTTAGCACACAAGATGGTACAGAGACCTCTTGTATGGATTTTCCTGCTATTACTTCCCAGCACTTCAAATACACAGATTTTTGGACCATCCGTGGGAGTATAGGGCGTCCCTGGTCCTATATCCATAAAATGACGTGTACCATACAATATACTAGAGTTTTCAGACTATGGATATAAAAAATATTTCATTTTCTATCAGTGTTATAGTCTTTTTATGGTATCCATTTTATGTATAACCAGTACTGTATGTGCTTTTGTTCAACTGAGTGCATGCATCAAAAAGCTACTTATTTCTTGGTATCGTTTGTTTGCTTATACTAAAACCTGTGAAGTTAACCATGTTTTTGCGATACTTAATTCAATGAGCATGTGTGTTCATATCCTGTCACGTGGTTATTTCCTTTACTCAGACCGCTGCTTACAAACACCACACTGTTAACCTTGGCATGCTGCACTCTGGAGGTTTGTCAGCAATGCATGCAGGCAGAAGCATGACTTTAAACTTGCAGACTAGATCTAAATTTGAAAACCAAATTCAGCAAGAGCTACCTCTACCAAAAGTAAGTATGGGATAGCCAGTATATACCAACATCACAGAATAAATTAATACCCTTTGCTTTTTCCTGCTTTAGCTTTTCATGCTTATACCCTGTAATCAGTCCAAAAAGCAAAGATGCTGGTACCATAGTTTGCCTAGTTAATAACCTTGCTTTTTGGATTAACTAGCTCACATGGCTGTTATTGCTGCTTTCTGCTCTTGTGTTGCAGACTAATGTTATCCTGATTATATGTTCTGGGAATAGCGCTGGGATTATGTTTCATGTTGTAGATGTTTAATCCTAGAAATGGTACTGTAGACATTTTTTTAAGAATGTATGTAGATTGCATCACAGGAGCCAAGGTGTTCCACTTTCCACTAATTTATCTGTAACAGCACTGACATGCTTTGAGCCCCTACTGGCTACAATTACAGTATTTTTAAATTTTGGTTTTAAGTATTGGGGATGTAGAAAAGAAAATTAGTGTTCTAAAACTTTTCAGTTTCTGATTTCATACCTATTATTGATATATTGGTGCATGTATATATGCATCATACACATGTATAAACATCTACTAATCTACATGGTTCATGAACGAAGTAGCTATAACAAGATAGAGTAGAATGTTACCCATTAAAATCTTGCCAAAATATTCATAGCGTGATGTAGAAGGGACTTTAATCTCTGCTTTAACACATGTGAGAGTAGTCTCACTGAAGTAAGGACAGGTCCTTGCAAGGAATAGCGTTGACATAAAATTCCAAACAGTCATATTATTTATGCATGTGCATATGAAATCAGTGTAACTACTCACATGCTCTAATGTTAGCCATGTGGCATAAGAGTTTTGCTGACCTGGAGTCTAACAGCCTGATCTAACTATTAATACATATAGTGTATTGTATTTCCCAGCCAGTAAGCATACCGGAATATTTCAACAGTACAAATACACACATTGCATTGCCAAGCTGCACCTAATAACTTATCCTTTCACATTTGGTTAGTTTCTTATGCCCTTCACTCTCTGCTTATCCAGAGTGTTACAAACCTTCATATTTGTACTTGTACATCTCCAATGTGGCAAAATTAATGACAACCAAATTGTCATCTTAAATATAGATGTGTACTCACTTAGAAAAGGAGTTTTCCAGCATTTGTCATATTTTTTTTCTTTCAAAGACTGTTGATATATCTTTGGGTGATATATTAATTCTTGTTCCAGGTCCTAGCAAGGAATCATTTTGACATGTAATTCCAGACAGCCTTAGTATTTCATGCATGTGTATTTATGAATGAGGTATTTCATATATCATGCACATCAAGAACTTTAGGTCATATGCTATATTTGACTTTAATGCATTCTGGTCAATGGGGAGTTACATGTGTGGATCTAGGGTGATATATGACCCCACGTGCGTATTCTTGTGACCAGCAACTAAGGACTCCAAGCTCTTACTCTAATATTCCTTCTGTTAAGCACTCAATCACAATCTGCTACATGCCACCATAAAATCTCATCTTAAAAAATGTGAAAGAATGATATTCTCTTACTATACAATTTGCACAGCAAAGACAAAGTTAGTGCTGATGTAATATTTTGAATTCCTAATACTGCTTATTTTTATTCCTTGATATCTTCTAGAACGTTTTGCATTTCTGGCTGTGGGACATAAATAACTTGTGAACTAAATGCTAAACTATAAATCTTCCACTGGCACTATGTAGATCTTTGAAAGGTGTCTACTGGAAATTTTGGAATTGTCTGCAAGTGTGTTGTGGACTCAGACTGTTTTCACAGAAAATGTTGATTCAGTTTTTATTCAAAGAAGGGTAATACAGTAGAATGTTTATAACTAAACATAAGTCACTTGAAATTCTCACATTCAGAATGCATATCTCACAGGAAAAAAGATTGCTTACATATATCAACCTTTTCTTTCTGAAAACTGAATGCCTGTGGGCAATCCACATCCGTGGAGCCTGCAAATTTAATGACTGTGGCAGCTTTTGATGTGTTCTCTCTGATTTGTTGTTTAAGATTTTTTTTAACATTATCCTGGTTATTAAAATAACCTTACTTCATTTTGCAGGTGACTCCACATCTAGACAGATTGAAACAACACCATCATACATTTAAACATCTGCAATGTTTTATTGGTTTCTTAATTTTCAGTTCTACATTTGTCTACTTAAAAGTTTTGAAAGGGATACATTCTATATGCATGTAATCCCTGCTGACATTAATTGGAGTATATATTGATGAAAGAGCAAATTTTAATACATTTTAAACAATACTATGCTTAAGTTATTGATGTTCAGCTATAGGGTCAGCTGGATCTGATTTTAATTTTAACTCTGAGAACTCAAGCAAGGGACAGAAACTCTAGAAGCAAAAGTATTCCTCCAATATGTAGGTGCATTAAAGGAAGGAGATGTAGCAGGGAGTTTGTCCCCACAGCACACTCGCACACAATCTGGTTTCTAGTGCTATGAATCAAGGGGAGCAGCTAGTGCTTTTAACAGAGAGCTAAGAGCCCAATAAATGGTGTGTTTTGGAGTAGGAGGAGAGGACCTGGGCCTCAGCCCTTTATATACCAGGATTGCTGTACTAGGGAGAATGCCTGTTATACCAGTTGAGCAGTTATAGCAAGAATGACTACGTCAATTGTTTATTCCAGGCCTTCTCCTCCTCTCATTTACAGCAGCATAATTTGACTCCAAAGAAGTTACTGATTTCCATTGGTGAAAGTAAGAAGGATCATGTGCATTATGCTTTTCAAAGCTGTAATATATCCAAACAACACCACTTGGGTGGTTTGCTCCTTTTTTTTCTCCCTAGTGTTGCTCAGACTCAAAAGAGCAATAATTAAGGCCTAACTGGCCAATGGCAGCTCAAAGAGTCAAAGAAAACAATTAGGGATGTAAAAAGAAAAGGAGTACTTGTGGCACCTTAGCGACTAACCAGTAAACATAACCAACGAAAGCTCATGCTCAAATAAATTGGTTAGTCGCTAAGGTGCCACAAGTACTCCTTTTCTTTTTGCGAACACAGACTAACACGGCTGCTACTCTGAAACCTGTAATTAGGGATGTGTTTATCTTTCTTAATCTGTTCTACTGCTTCTAGAATCATAGAATCATAGAATATCAGGGTTGGAAGGGACCTCAGGAGGTCATCTAGTCCAACCCCCTGCTCAAAGCAGGACCAATCCACAAGTAAATCATCCCAGCCAGGGCTTTGTCAAGCCTGACCTTAAAAATTTCTAAGGAAGGAGATTCCACCACCTCCCTAGGTAACGCATTCCAGTGTTTCACCACCCTCCTAGTGAAAAAGTTTTTCCTAATATCCAGCCTAAACCTCCCTCACTGCAACTTGAGACCATTACTCCTTGTCCTGTCCTCTTCCACCACTGAGAACAGTCTAGAACCATCCTCTCTGGAACCACCTTTCAGGTAGTTGAAAGCAGCTATCAAATCCCCCCTCATTCTTCTCTTCCACAGACTAAACAATCCCAGTTCCCTCAGCCTCTCCTCATAAGTCATGTGTTCCAGACCCCTAATCATTTTTGTTGCCCTTCGCTGGACTCTCTCCAATTTATCCACATTCTTCTTGTAGTGTGGGGCCCAAAACTGGACACAGTACTCCAGATGAGGCCTCACCAATGTCGAATAGAGGGGGACGATCATGTCCCTCGATCAGCTCGCTATGCCCCTACGTATACATCCCAAAATGCCATTGGCCTTCTTGGCAACAAGGGCACACTGCTGACTCATATCCAGCTTCTTGTCCACTGTCACCCCTAGGTCCTTTTCCACAGAACTGCTGCCTAGCCATTCGGTCCCTAGTCTGTAGCTGTGCATTGGGTTCTTCCATCCTAAGTGCAGGACCCTGCACTTATCCTTATTGAACCTCATCAGATTTCTTTTGGCCCAATCCTCCAATTTGTCTAGGTCCCTCTGTATCCTATCCCTGCCCTCCAGCGTATCTACCACTCCTCCTAGTTTAGTATCATCCGCAAATTTGCTGAGAGTGCAATCCACACCATCCTCCAGATCATTTATGAAGATATTGAACAAAACCGGCCCCAGGACCGACCCCTGGGGCACTCCACTTGACACCGGCTGCCAACTAGACATGGAGCCATTGATCACTACCCGTTGAGCCCAACAATCTAGACAACTTTCTACTATCACATTGAACTGTTGCTTCTTACTTTTTATCTAGATGTAATCGGTGTAAAACGTCTATTGATGTGCAGTTCATTCAGCCGCTGTCAAATGAATAACTTTATAAGCAGCCAAATTCATTTTCCTGTCAAAAACGAAAAGCTCAATCATCACAGATTTTTCCCAATCTTGTACAGAAAACAGTAAACAACTGCATCATTTTTCTTTATTCCGCAGCTTTAAATCACCTCTACAATTACAGTCACTGTCTTATAAAAATGGCACCACATTCTCTGTAGTGGAAAAAGGAACTTCTTTCAGAAGAATGCCTTCAATTTTAAAGTTCATATGATAATTATTTTTAACACTGTATGGATTCTTGCTTAGATGAACTTCAGGATCAAAAGTATATTACTCTCTCCCCTAGGACCAATCAAACAGTCACACAGTATGTTACTTTGTCAGAAAATATTGTCATAGAGGCACAGTCCTTTGAATAGCATATAGCACATGATTTGTTTTAAATGTTCTTATCAGTTTTACAAAGTAGGAGTAACTCTGGGGATTAACTGGTGAAATTAGTCACATCACACGGGTGACACACTTGCTTTTCTCTGTGTATTTTTATTCTCAGAATAGAGACTATGCAATGGGAAGTTTTCATTTCTAATGTTGCTCACTTGAATAATCTCTCAAGATACACATCTCATTTTCATGACTCCAAGGGGATTGCAATCATGCAGTCTCATTCAACCAAACTGAGAAACAGGGTAGGAGGCATTGGCAGTACTCAGATATCTAAAGGGTTTCCACAAGCAAAAAACCCAATTGGAAATAATCTGAAACAATGGCCCAGATTCTGAACTGCAGACAAGGAAAACAGTAGTGTGTAAGCAGTACGGTAATGGCTCTAAGCAACTTTTGCATTCCTTTGATCCTTCTTGGCACTGGGCCAGTCCCTGGCATATAATAGAGTGGTTTAAAATCTGCTTTAATTTATGCTATCTGCTGATGGTCCCAAGGGTCTGTTACAATAGATGAGGGATCAGCCATATGTAATGGACTCACAGCCATGCTCTCATTCTCCTAGCCGTGCATTTGTGCCAGCAGAAGTATCATCAGAGGATCCTCCACATTGTAGAAATTCTCCTGTGGCTGGATCTGCCCTGTGATGGCAGGATTTTGAAAGGATTCAGTCAAGAAAGTTATGTTTATGTGAATAAAAATTAATTAAGCCTAACTAAAAAAATTAATAAATGGAAAATAAAATTAGATTAAGATAGAATAGGACACCAAGACCACAAAAATGACTGAAAAAGAGATGAGTAAAGTTACCAGTGAAGGAAAATGACCAGGATTAAATGTGTCCAAGGGGGAGGAAACAGAAAAGAATAATAGAAGTATGACCCTGTTTCAGGAAAGCACTTAAACATGTGCTTAAGTCCATCCTTATTCGGGAAAGCACTTAAGTATGTGCCTAATTTTAAGCATGTGCTTAAGTACCATTGACTTAATTGGAATTTAAACATATGCTTAAGTGCTTTCCTGAACTGGGGTCTGTAAGAGCAGTGCAGAAGGTAACCCAAGGTATGACAACTATAACTTCAGTATTGTCTGTATTAAATATAACATTTTAAAAAAATGCATTGTAAATTTAACATTTCATATTTACATTATAGATGATGGTGAGATATTTATACATTCTTTCATTGCTCTTTACTTACTTACAGTTTGAATGAGCAGTACGATGTTTTTAGATTGTGTGATTCTGTAGCACACTATTGTGTTAAAAATGTAATTTCAGAAAAATATTTACTGTTCCATGATTTCAGACTTTGAGTTAATTTTCTCACTTCTCTCATTATTGCCAAGATAATTAATGAACATCTAAAGTTCTCCCATTTAAAGTAAGGTCCACAGACAACGTGCAGTCAAGACTGCAGCAAGTATATAGTTCTTATACATTAACACGATATGGGGATAAAGCATAAAATGATTCCCATTACAAATGAAATGCTGTGCAACTGAACAAGGTGGATTTGGGGCAAAAGTAAGTGGTGGTTTTATACAGTGATCTGTCAAGGCACTAAAGTATATCCTACCATTTTTACAATAGACCCCATCACAGCAGAGCAACATTCTAGACAATGGACAAGAAGATGTTTCTGCTAGTAGCCAATGGAACCCATATCCACTTGGAAGGCGGGATGTGCCACCAGATACCATTACTAAAAAGGTAACCAGTAGCAACATGATGATATAAAATCAGACATTTATGTACTGTCAGCTTTTTCCTTCACCCACCAAAATCAGCAGCAATCCCCTTACTCCAGTTGGCTTCAGTGGACACAGGATAGGTGCAATGCATTTTTTCTTCAAGGCTTAGAACAGCTTGTAAATTCATAATCTAATCATATTTTCAGTTCTAACCTGTTTTTGAGCTCATTTATGCCAAGTTAACTTATTATGTTTGCAAAAGTGGATGCATGTACCAGTATGTTCTGCATACACAAACTAGATAGCTGGGCAAATAACTGCACACTCTAGCTGCACAAAATATTCATATTCCTACATTCTTAGGGTACAGTAATTTAATGCAGTAATTTAAAACTAAGTGTGGAGAAAGAGACCAGCTCAAGGCTTGCTGAAAATTTGGCCATTGGTGGTAATTGTTAATCTACATGTTTTGGTTCTGATCTTTCTTGCACTAGTTAGAGGAGTGAACAAAGTGAGTAAAAATGGTGTACGTGAATCAGAGTCAGGTCCAAAGACATAATGAATATATTTGCGAATGCTGCACTTCAAATACCTTTAAGTATTGATCAGGTAAATATTTTCCTACTGGCTTCAGATTTTTTCATTCAACACAGAAGCAGCAGTCTTTGCCATTACAAAAATTATAGAGTGAAAAGAGGTCATTTATAAATGTGCAGGAGAATTACTCAAGTAGGTCATCAGGTCCAGATGCAATAGAAGTCACTCTGCTCAGTGCAGCCCAGGGACCATTCCCTCCTGGAATCCCCAGGAACATAAATCATTGCAAGAGACAACGGGTGGTTGAAGGCAGATGGGGCCCTGGCCTTGCATTTGTGGAGCTGGGCACTGAGAGTAGGCTGAACCACTCAAAGGGATTGTATAGTATACACAGGAGCTGGGAGAAGGATTCTCCTTCCTGAGAGGAGTTACACCTGATTTTCTCCAGTATATGTGAGGTCAGGATTAGACTCATCAGCTCAAACAATATATTTTATGTCTTGTATTGGAACTCTGATATGCATTATTGTGATAAGAAACTGAAAAGTGAAATCCGTAGTAGACATTTCAATATCCTGCTGTACAGATGTGGTATGTTAAAACATTGCACAATGCATCAGAATCTGTTTAACTCATTGGCATTATCCATTGTTGTAGCCATCGTCAGCAGTTTGAATTGCATTGGCAATAACGGACTCCCAGCTTCAAATAATTAACTTTTATGATGGATGTTAAAATAATATATAGAATACAAATGAAATCAAGGGAAAACATTCCATACAATAGAGATGTTTTTTCAGCAGAATTTCTGTTTCTGTTTCTAAGTGATTTCTGTTTCTAGAAAAGGATTTATTCTCAACTTAACCTTTATACAGCAGAAACCATGCTATAAAGGCACAAGAAGCATTGATATAATCTTTGCAAACAAAATCTATGAAAATGAAAGAGAGAATGAATGATGAATATTATTTACTTTTCATTCTCAATAGGTATTTTTAACGTGTATTTATGACAATGCTAATTTCCCTTGCATTGAACGTGACCTAGAATATTTTGTTTCGTTTTTTCACCAGTTGAAGGCTTAAATGTAACAATCATTTTGAAATTAATTTCAGAGTCTTCTGTAAAATTAAATTCTCATATACTGAATAATGTGATTTTGTAAAAATAAATAAGGGGTAAAACTGCACTCCCACTAGCATAATTACACTAGCTTTAATGGGTTTGTGTCAATGCAAATGAGAGCAGAATCTGGTACAGAGCCCCATGTGTGTAACCTATCCATAATAAATCTAATTTCTTCAGTTTAAATGACAGAATATATATCATGTAAATGAGCCATACCTGTAGGACCAGTGTTGATTAGTTACATGGTAACTACGAGGCAGTGGGTTATCACCATGTAACTGCAGTATGTATGTATTGTACCATACAACCATGGTAATTACCGTGCAACTATTAACTATACAATTACATAGTAATTCATGGTTATTTCTCTCCTCTTAACTATGCAGCGTGTAGATTAAATGCTGGTTACTTCTAGCTCCAAGGTGATCAATTACACAGTAATCTGCAGGCAATCATTAGAATATTTCCATTAAAAAGTAGTTTGGTATTTTTGCCCTTTGATTTAGAATGCCACTCTGTAAATCTATTCATTTGCTGAAAAACAATCCTCTCCTCATTTTAATACTGCTGGAGATGCACTTTTTCTGTGGTGCCTACGAGAAACTAGTTGACAAAGTCATCTACATATTTATCTATGAGTTAACTGCTCATTATGAGAAAGAAAGGGATTCACTGTTAGGAGATAAGATCACTGAAAATGAAGCTGGGGATTGCTCAAGGGGCAGATGAATGAGGTTGAATGAACAAGGGGAAATAGAAGAAAGATAGTCAGACATAAACCTGGTGTATCTGCCACAAGAGGATCACCCCAGTGGCATGGAGCCAGAATACAAGCACCAACATCACCCACCCCCCTCCTTGCAGCTGATATAGGGAACATGGCTAGGGAAAAGGTGTGTGGGCCAGGGCATTTCTGCACCTTGGCTGCTGTATGAGCCCCTTGAGATTCATTTGGTCTGTGGTGAATTTGGTACAAGTTAGTGGTCTATGCTAGTACACATGACCAATGGACTGCTGGCCTAGAATTAGAATATGCAAAAGTGATTAAAACTGCTGTTGCCCTCCTCTTCTGAGTTGAGTGCATGCCTTGCCCATAGCTGAGGAGCTGGTGCTCTGTTTTGTTTTCATTATGTGCATCTGTCACTCAGCCCTGAGGTGATCCAAGCCAATAAAATAGATATGAAGATTTTTTTGGTGTTGGGCCACAATTTCTGTATGCAAGACCTTTAAGCAGATTTCTTCCTCTGAGGAAGACAGTGCACCTGCTGTGGACTTCTGTGAAGGACATCTTCAGGTTACATTTGTGCCGTGACTTGAAGCTGATGAGATGCTACTCATTTTCAAGCATCCCATGATGACTATCTGGTGAAAATAGTCGGGCTCAACGGGTAGTGATCAATGGCTCCATGTCTAGTTGGCAGCTGGTATCAAGTGGAGTGCCCCAAGGGTCGGTCCTCAGGCTGGTTTTGTTCAATATCTTCATAAATGATCTGGAGGATGGTGTGGATAGCACCCTCAGCAAGTTTGCAGATTACACTAAACTGGGAGGAGAGGTAGATACGCTGGAGGGTAGGGAGACGATACAGAGGGACCTAGACAAATTAGAGGATTGGGCCAAAAGAAATCTGATGAGGTTCAACAAGGACAAGTGCCGAGTCCTGCACTTAGGACGGAAGAATCCCATGCACCGCTACAGACTAGGGACCGAATGGCTCAGCAGCAGTTCAGCAGAAAAGGACTTAGGGGTTACAGTGGACAAGAAGCTGGATATGAGTCAACAGTGTGCCCTTGTTGCCAAGAAGGCCAATGGCATTTTGGGATGTATACATAGGGGCATTGCCAGCAGATTGAGAGACGTGATCGTTCCCCTCTATTCGACATTGGTGAGGCCTCATCTGGAGTACTGTGTCCAGTTTTGGGCCCCACACTACAAGAAGGATGTGGAAAAATTGGAAAGAGTCCAGCGGAGGGCAACAAAAATGGTTAGGGGGCTGGAACACATGACTTATGAGGAGAGGCTGAGGGAACTGGGATTGTTTAGTCTGCGGAAGAGAAGAATGAGGGGGGGATTTGATAGCTGCTTTCAACTACGTGAAAGGGGGTTCCAAAGAGGATGGCTCTAGACTGTTCTCAGTGGTAGCTGATGACAGAACAAGGAGTAATGGTCTCAAGTTGCAGTGGGGGAGGTTTAGGCTGGATATTAGGAAAAAAAATTTTCACTAGGAGGGTGGTGAAACACTGGAATGCGTTACCTAGGGAGGTGGTGGAATCTCCTTCCTTAGAAGTTTTTAAGGTCAGGCTTGACAAAGCCCTGGCTGGGATGATTTACTTGTGGATTGGTCCTGCTTTGAGCAGGGGGTTAGACTAGATGACCTCCTGAGGTCCCTTCCAACCCTGATATTCTATGATTCTATGAAAATCCAAGTACAGAGTCAATGTGAAACTACGGATATATTCTGGCCAGATCCTCAGCTTGTATAAATTGGCATAGCTTCATTAAACAGCTAAGGATCTGGCCAGTTATCATTAAGGCATATTGTTTTGAGTCACTAGATCAGATTTCTCCTTCTGGCCATGTTCTGCCTCTGTGATCTTGGGCAAGGCACTGAAGTTCTCTCAGGGTCTCTAACATGCCTGTCATAAATTGCTGAGTTTACGTACTCTAAAGATGGCCAGTAACATAGGATTGTGACGTTTCATGGAGGTAGTAAGATATGAGCATTCCTTGGAGCATTCATTTTACTCATTCCTTTATGGCTAAGTTGCATGCCAATTATTAATAAGCATCAACAGTTCAATCCTGTCATCATAAACAGTATAAATTGTTTTCAATTAATTTATTTTTAAATTATTTGACTCAAATGTGTATGTAATGTATGTGTATAAACAGAATGTATGTTGAAAAGTAAGCAAGTGTGCAACTTTACCATGTCAAGAATAGAGTAACATACAAACCAAACCCCACATGTTAGAGCAATAAAATTGAAAATGTGACAGATAAGCAGGGATTGAAGACTATTATCAGTGGCCTTTCTCTGATAAATATCAAAAGACAGTGAACAAAATAACACAAGTTCAATATTTTCCATAATTTTGAAAAGTATGAATCTTTTCAAATTACTAACTACTAGCTCTTTTCAAAAAGTTGATAATCCGATTAGTGACATTGGTAAACATAAGGTCATGTAAAAAACACATTCTTTATTGGGACAATGCATTGACACTGAATAGTATCCACTTGGCTTCTGCTAGCCTGTGACATGATTATAAACAATCACTGAATTTAAACTATATTATAAAATGTGATTTTTAATAGATAATCCTGAAACAGTGTACAATTTAGGCCAATATTTGTGATCAATAGAGAATAAACTCTATTCCAAACTATCCTCAAATTCAATGCTACCCAATATTTAACATTTTTTAGAATGTGCTGCAAAATCATCTTATTTATTTCATCGTTATATATTTTCATTTCGTGAGATTTTCGGACCAGAAACATATAACATGAAATAAGCCTAAAATATTTTCCTTTTATGTATCAGACTCTGTACATTTGATCTCAGTTATGGCTCCTAGATTCACTAAATGCAATGGATAAATCCTTGCTGGTTTTAATCACGGTTGTTTCCAACTGTGGTCAAAAGGCAAACCTCTGATATTTATTTAAGAGGTTTGCTTTTACTTGACTGTGTAAGTTGTAATAATTGCTTCTTTTCAGCTTCCTGAATTTCTGGCCTAACGGGTTACGTTACCCACAGGCAGGTAGCCATATCCAGACTTTGATGGGATCTCAAAGCCTACAACATCGGAGTCGAGAGCAGCAATATGAAGGAAACATGAATAAAGTTACCATTCAGCAGTTTCAATCACCACTGCCAATTCAGATCCCTTCTTCACAGAGCTCTCGGGCACCTCAGGCCGGGAGGTGCTTAATTCAAACCAAAGGGCAGAGGAGTATGGATGGTTATCAAGAGCAGGTGAGAAAATGTGTATATAAATAACATGCTGATGAAGCAACATTGGGGGGGGGTTCCTGTCAGGTAGCAGCTAAATTGTTAGGAAAGTGAGGGGCTACATTAACAGGAAGTTGTGATTCTTGGTCTATGTAAGGATTATCAACTTGCAAGGATTTTGATTCGTGTTTTATGATTGTGTGTACATGCTTAGGCTTGTTGATTATGAATGGCAATTACCATATACACAACATTGAGCAATGTGAGTGATTAGTCTGATATTTTACGGAAGGAGCAGAACTTTGAGCCTACTTATAGTTGAGTTCCTGTGGATAGATTTTAAAGATAACTTTCTGTCTGCAACAGAATCATGATTTTTTTCAAAGCAATTTGTTTTTGTTTTATGGTTGCATTATTCCACTGAGGTTGCACTTAACACAGTACTAGCAAATTGAATGGACACAAATTGTACTATTGATCATGCCATTTCTCTAAAAGCATTCATTGAAATGTCTCAGGGGCCTTAATCAGCTCCAGTCTTTTTATTTGTGCCTGTAGCAATTTGTTTCACTTGGAAAATGTATACCCACTCCCATTCCTGTCCACTTTCTAACTGGGTACTTGAATACTTATAATATTTGGAAACCTAAAAAGCCTACTTACAAACAAATAAGTGATGCATTTAATGACAAATATGATCCACTTTTTATCAGGAAGGTTACTGACATTTTCCCCTGATTCACTAATTAAAATGGGTGCTTCAGTAACAAGTATGTCATAAATGTACCCATGTTGTGGACAGCTGACAGATTTATACATAAATGTGTTTTTAAAGTTTTATTCCTGAAAGTACTGCTTAAATTTAAATGTGATGTTTTTACTTAACATTAACTGAAAACCTAAAGTCCGACACAATGCAAATTCATATTGATATTTTTCCAGGTGCTTTAATGGGAGCTATAACAGGCCTATTATTGCAGTTATTTTAATAGTATCATTGTTAATCTAAGAATTGACACTTTCTGAGATGGTCCAACTGATCCAGAGTTTTTTGGCCTTCAGGACACAGTGCAGCCAATCTCTTCTTTCTGGCATTGATTTGAGAGGCAGAGTACCAAGGGATGATGGGGGAATTGATTGGTTGTGGAGGATGATCCTATTTTCTACCACTGAAGAAAGGAGGATTCATGTGCATTTAGATGTGTTTTATTGAACAGTGTATAGGCTCTTAGGTATGAGGAAGAGTGTGTATTTTAGATGTCTGAACATTAAATAAACAAAACATTGAAGAAAAAGAGCTTTTAAGGAGTAATACTCAGAGAAATGAGAAACCGCAGTTTTTCAAGTGGCTTCTGCATATTACCACTGGTGGTATCTGGTGCCTCTGGCATTGATTTGCGGAATTTTTCTAGTGAACAGTGTCTGTGGACGTCACTCACCTAATCCCTCCCTCATAGAGGATTCTGAGGATATAAAATGGGGAGAGGCCTTAGCTAGCCTTCAGTTCCTTTTAAACCACCAAAAGTGCAGTGATCTGAAATGAGGACACTGTGTGTAATAACTTTCCTCATTAGTTTCTTTTAATTTTGCCCTTTGTGGCTATTTTCTTTTGAGTTAGTTAGATTAACAGTTACTTTGTAAGGTGTTCTTCAGTCAGACGAATAAAGAAGAAACAGTACCTGTCAGGCACAGTTATTGTTTGCATGATCCTCAGAAGTGTGAGGGCATATTAAAAATGATGAAATATCACATTTGTGTACTTCAAAACAACATTATTAATGTTTTTTAATACTCTGTACAATATAATTCAGAATGGTCAACTCCAATAGTTAACCATAAACCAAAATGTGTCAGGCAGAGACACAATTGTTTAGAAGATTAGCTTTAATGATGGTGTTCGATTATCTTTCCATATCTTTTTAACATAGTTTTGTGTGAGAATAGAAAAGAATCCTGGACTTGGATTTAGTATCAGTGGTGGAATAAGTGGACAAGGAAATCCATTCAAACCTTCTGATAAGGTAAGATGTGAATTTCTTACTAATGGTCTTTATTACAGAGAGCCAAACAATGTCCTCAGATACAAGCATGTGAAATTCAATAGAAGTTGTGAACATACAGAAATTGGTCCAGGATGTGACTTTTTTAAACAAAAATGGGTATTTTCCTTCTGGTTGATAAATAAAGGTTTAATCAAAACAGGCTATTCCCTGTATTGCACTAGTTAATCTTTTCATGTGGTTTGCCTTTTCCCAAGTACCAACTTTCTTGACTTGTTGTAAGTAGGGTTGCCAATTTCCTAATGCCAGTAAACTGAACACCCTTGCCCCACCTGCTGCCCCGCCACTGCCATGCCCCTTCCCTGAGGCCCCGCCCCTGCCCAAGGCCCGGCCCCTGTTCCCTCCATCCCCCCTCCCTTCATCGCTTGCTCTTCCCACCCTCGGTCATGTACTCATTTTCACTGCAAGGCCCAAACAGGCATATTTATTGTTTTGACAGATGTATTATGCTAAGTTCAGGTTTTATTTGTTACAGGATGCTAGAGCTGGCAGCAAAATAGTCAAAAAGGGTAATTTTTAAAAAAATGAAATTTCACAAAGGTTTTCATGATTCTTTCCTTTCCCTCTTCCCATTTTTCATAACCAGCTCCAGTTTTTTGTTCACTAAAGTTATTGTAAATTTATTTGTGGAATTAGGACCACACATTATCAAAGCTGCAATGGGTCCATTAAAGGCCCAGTCCTGAAGCCCAAATACAAATCCATATAGCACAACCACAGAAATGCACACCTGTCCAGATACCTATATAAATAAATATGTAGAAACTGACTCCCACACCTACATGCAGATACACACATGTATTCATGTGTACACATCTAGCATGCACTAACACATATACTTCTACATTATTTATTATTACAATTGTTGTTTAGTGCCTAGAGACCCCAACTAAGATCAGGACTCCACATTGGTAGGTGCTGGACATACACATAAAAAGAGAGAGTCTGCAACAAAGAGTTTATAATGTAGCTAGACAAAGGTGGGGACAAATGTATGATACATTGGCTCTTCTGCAATTACTAGTCAACAACATTCACTTTTTAAGAAATAATACATTTCTTTTAGAGTTCCCTTCTGTTTTAAAAACTTGTTGAAATGAATACACAGACATATTTTATGTCATCAATTTTTTGTGCACAAGCCAGAAAAAGGAATCAAAGTCAGAGAGTTAGGCTGCAAATTTTATTCACACAGGTATACACACATGCGGCAATACACACACTTCCCTACACAAAGACACACAGTCTCTTACACACATACAATGCATGCATGCACACACTTGCCGACACAGAGACACTTTTTCATACACTTTTCTGGGTGCTGCCTGGAGGGGAAAAGATGGAGGTGGGGGAGAAGGAGAGGGGATGGAGAGGGAAAGAGGCCAAGGACGAGAGCAGCGTGGAGGTGAGAAGGAGAATGGGGGGGTCGGGGGTCTGTGGGGGCCAATGGGGATGCAGGGGGAGGCAGAAGGCTACAGGGGGTGTAGGGAGCACAGGGTGTATGTACATAATGGGAGTGCAGCAGTGTATGGAGGTGAATGGGATGCGAGGGGGTGAGGGACATGGGGGTGGTGGTCTGGGAGGTGGAGAAGATGGGTAGGAGAGCACTGCAGAGGATACAGGGCTGGGATGGATGGTGTGGGGGGCAGGATGGGACGGGGAGGGATGCAGTGAGGGGGATGGGGGACGGGGGGTCGGACAGGGAGGGGAGGGATGCAATGACAGGGGCATTGGAGTGTGGGAGGGGGGTGGGACGGAGAGGGATGCAGTGAGGGGGGTGGGGGTGTAGCCACATTCCCAGCACTCAGAGATGGGGACACACATACCTCCAACTCCTTCTGGAGGAGAAGAGGGCTGGGCAACAGCAACACCTGGTCACCCTAGTTGTAAGGGTATATTTTTTCCAGAACAAACCTAGGACCTGATCCAACTCCTTCTGAAGTAGTTGAAAAGATTCCTGTTGATTTCAGTGGGAGTTGGATTGGTCCGCTAATTAGGAGGATAAATTCACTGGTATTTTAAACAGTAGTAGTATCATAAACTAGCTTCAATTGCCTAGACTTTTGCCTACTCTGCCAAACACAACAGATTCTATCTGTACTCTGCAGATTAATAGTGGTGGAAAGGTCTATAGAAGACTCTGCACAAACTTCCCTATAAATGAGCATGCCTTTTAGTAATCAGGATTGTGAAGTTTTTGGTAATAAACATCTGGATCCATTGCATGTTTACACTAAATAGCCTAGGAGAATGATGTATTTCTTTAGTCAGCAAAATGGGGACAAATAAAAATGTGACAATCAAGGGTTATCAAATTCAAATGGTCTAGAGATTAGAAAGTGGACTCTGAGGCCTCTGAATTAATCTGTGATGTGTACTAAAACTAAGTGGAGCTTGTTACATATAAAGGACTATAGGTTTGTATATTTTAAACATGGTGTTATCTGTGTTAAGATTAGACCCAATCCTACTGGGTGGCCAGCACCTCATCTCTGCACCCGTCTATGCCCACTAATTTCAGCGTGAGCTGAGAATGCTCATCAAATCATAAGATTGGTGTATTTTTTTAAACAAATCCTCATATGTAGCCTTAGACCCCATTTTTTTTAAAATTTCCCATCAGCATCGATTAAAATTGAAAGGAAAATTAATATTTACAGAAAATGTCAAATGCCTTTGAAGGTACCCATGTAATATGGACAGGTTCTAACGATTTTTTATGTTGTCAGTTAGTGAATTTGGACTACAGGGAGTAGATCATTTTATTCTGTGTAACCAATAGACATTTGAACCTGTAGTACTTAAAACTGTATTGGTATTGGTTGAAATGCTGCTTAATATGGTCTTTCCAATGTGCTTTATAACAAATGTAAATGTGACTTCATGTCATGGTTCCTAATTTGGCTTATGATATTATAATTAAATTCTGTATCAGTTGTTTTGACAATTGAAATTCTTCACACTTTTCTTTTAAAAAAGGAACCATGTTCCCTCATGAATGTATCTACATAAGTAATATCTCTGATTCTGTAACAACTGTATATAGCAAAATTATAACCATATTTTTTAATATGATTAACAATTGATCAAGAAAAGTTTAAATTGGACCAGAGAATTGTCTTTTGAGAGAAAGTGAGTTAGACTGTCTGGGGTTGCATTTCTACATTGTTATTTCTTTTTATCAAAGGAATTAATTATTTCAGGTTATTTCAAATCATTGCTCTTAAATCCTTACATGTTTTTACTTGAGATCTTCTAAGTGTTTTTAATGCTTCAATCATTATTTGCTTATTTATAATAATTTAAAGGTTATAGTGGGGCTCAACTTCTCTCTCATCGTACAATTCCAATAATTTAGATATAAATACTTCATGTACAGTATTTTACTGTATACCACGTGAAATCAGCAAACTTATAGTACACCATGCTAAAGAATATTCATCCTCATAATAATAGTTAAAATAAGATGTGCTGATGGAGTAAAAGTGTCTCAGAATTGCCTAGATCATCTTGCCTGCTCAGTCCATAATAACCTTAGCCAACAGCAACTCTGAGTGACCTCTCCTTGTCTCAGTTTCCTAATCACCTTGCAGTTATTTTGATGGAGTCCTCAACCCTTTTCCTATGTGCAGTATCTTCTGGACAGTGTTTTTGAAATGGTCTGGCCTCCTTGCCCTCCCCCTTCTGTGTGTTATCCAGAGGTCAGATTCCAAACTAAATCAAGAGGAAGTTTATTTAACCAATCCTTATTTCCAAGCATGACCTATATAACAGAGAGAAGAACCAAAGGTGCCGGTTAAACATAGTAAAAAGATTTAGGTAAGAGCAGAGAAATGGTGTGACAGATAAAGGAGTGCAAACGAAATTATTCAAAGGGGGAGCCAAAGGAACAGAGAAGTAACTGAGAACATAATCCACTCACATTAACATATGGGAGAACTTGATGTCCAGTTGTGAAAGCGGGACAGGCTCAGCAGTAAGGAAGGGACAGTCACGAAGGGACAATAGGTAGCTCCTCTTCCAGGAGTCTCTGGCACCCATTGATCAGCTGGAGGCAAGGGGTGCTGAATGGCCAGCATACCCAGTTCCCAGAATTTAACCCATCGCATGAGGCGTGGGTAGTCTCTTTCAGCTCCAGTCCAATATCCCACCCTACCCACCTGAACTAGGAATGGGAACCTGGCCTGACAGATGCTGCTGCTCTAGTCAATCATCTGTTTAGGAGGTCAGGAATTCTTTCTCCCATGGGCCAATTGGCAGAGATCTGGAGAGGTTTTTGCCTTTCTCACAGCACCTTAAAACCACAGTGGGTTAAGTAACTAACTGTGGTACTGGGATGGAGTTGTTTATTTGTCACAACTTGCAGCCGGTTTCCAGTGTGATTAAGTGAATAAAATGAATGGTTCCCAGAAGTAAAAGATCTGGGATTTTGGTGATGGGCCTTGGGCTCATGTGATAGGGTCAGACCTTGTGGCTTTCACGGGCCGAGGTCAGACATTGTGTCCCTCGCATTGTGGCTCACCCTCTGCCCCATCATAGGGTGAGGGTGCTCTGACTCAGAGAGAGCTGAGTCCTACCCCATATTATATGGTAAAGAGACCTGTAACCCCCACACTTGAACCAATTAAATGCCTGATATAGGAGTTACCCTATAAGTCAGAAGTAATGGGTGGATAGTGCCCCTTCTCTTGTTAAAGTTTAATAAAAGTTTAGGCCTGCTGCTTAATTCCATGTATTTCTGTCCTCATTTTGCCTCTGTGTCCATGTCTCAAGCCAATGGGGGCTATGGGAAGCGGTGTGGGCCGAGGGATGTGCTGGCTGAACCTGCAGACACTGCAGGTAAACAAACAAAAGCCTGCCAGTGGCTTTCCCACATGGGCCGCATGCCAAAGGTTGCCAATCCCTGCCCTAACTAATTAAATTGATATCAGCAGAGAAACACCACGAGAGCACAATACAGAAGTGCTGTAACTTGGGACTGCTGCTTAGCTACTTATAAAGTTTTAGCTTTAAAGCATTAACAGGATTATTTAAAGCCTTCAGATCAGCAAACAGGCAGTTGGACAGATTTCAGGAAATGATTATATTGGTGTCTTACAGGATGTTTAGTAAGCATCAATCCTTTAAAGTTCTTTATGAAAGCTTCTGTAATGTATGTAGCCAGGTACTTGCTTGATAAAACAGTATTTCACTGAAGTAAAAGTCTATAATCACTGGTCTACTTCTGTTCATACAAATCTGTATAAAGCTTTTAAACTTGTAATAGGTAAAATTATCAATGAGAGAAACAGTTCTAACACATCTTTGAAAGGTGCATGCGATAATTGGGGTCAAATCTACAGGGTATATTCAGAAAAGCTGAGTACTGGAAGGATTCCAGATGATTTAAAATAAAAATGTCCTATGGTGCATATATAGTTCAACACCATGCTTCTGGAGCTGGACAAATCACTCTTAGTGACTGGTTCATGTATGTATATTTCTAAATTATTATTGCGTGGTGACTGGCAGTTTTTCTATTGTTGCACAATATCAGATCTTTTTAAATCTCAGTGAATGGGACCTTTTAGAAACTGAGCTACATAGAAATGGGGTCATTGCTGAAGTTTCTCCATTTTTAATACAAAATATCAAAAGAACCTTTAGCTAGTGCTTGGTAATAGAATCCTAACCTCTGTTACTTCTGACTTATAGGGTATCTTTGTTACTAGGGTTCAGCCTGATGGACCAGCATCCAGCCTGCTCCAGCCTGGTGATAAGATCCTTAAGGTAAGAGGGAACTATGTTTTTTGTTTAGTTTGTAATTTTAATTTAGTTCTAGATCAAATTTGCACAATATACAAATAAGTTTTTCCTCACTGCCAATTAGTTTATACATTCCCACTTTTTGTTAGCTAATTTATTTTATTAATTTAGTTTATAATTAATTCATAGTACTTTATTTAGGGCTAGATATTTCTCTTCCCTTTCTCAGAGGGAATGGGAACAAACCAGTGTGGAAGGGATGGGAAACATGAAGAAAGGAGACAACTTGTCTCAGTGTCATGCACCACCTTCCTGAGAGCAGAAGAAACCCCTCCTGGAGAAATCTCTGAGATCAGAGAGTGGTGTTACACAGTAGTGGGGCATGAGGTCCAAGCAGCATTCATTCTTCTCTGTGGCTTCTGCTCCCTCACAGGATATAGTGCTCAGGCACAGGAGGAAAGAGCTAATGGCAACATAGAGGAGGCTTCTAGACCCTGCAGAGAATGGTTCAGAGAGAAAGTCTGTTGCCATGGTTGGCTCAGGCTCCATAGGCTTATGCTTTGGATACACAGGATCTAGAAACTGTGACCTTTCTCCCTCCCATAGACCACAGTCTGCTCCTTTTTGAAATGAGCCTGTGGCATCAAGATAATCCTAGTAAACGGTTTTTCCCCTATTGTTTTTGCCCTCCCATGTACTTTTCAGAGAGGGGAGCATTGGGCTCTTCTTTATGTACAGTGAGGTGCCTGTCTCGTTACCTCTGTCTACATGCAATGCACATAGAGCAATAATCAGTTCCGGAGAACAGATTGACCAAAAATAAAGAATGGTCCTCCACACAGTTCTCACACACAGGTAAAACCCTGGAAAAAATAAATGTGCTTGGCATCAAGATCAACAGATTCCAGCTCTGTTAAACTAACAGGATAATACACTCCAGAGGAAAGGCATCTTCACTGGTAATGCCCTTTCACCTGCCCTGCAGAGTTGAAATCATGGATCTATTAGCAGGAATATAATCTCAAACTATCTGGATGATGTGGGTAAGGATCTGTAAAGGACCAAACTATATATAAACCCATACTTCAAATGGTAACAGATAGAACAGTCCCATTTATTGTCTTTAAATGCAAAGCAAACAATAGAGCTACTCTGAGATAATAAAAAGCAGTTTTACCTATAACTTTCTAAAATTAATAGTGACTAAAAGAAGTAAACATAGTGTATGCAATATTTTTTACCTCAACAATTGTGCTGTTGTATAAATGAATAACATCATGCTATTTCAGTGTTATTCCTTTGTTTCTTGTATGTGAATGAAAGCAAGAATTTGAACATTTTATTAAGTGGCTGACAACTCGAGTCATGTTTATGATTTGCACATTTTCTTCCAGTATAAGACCAAATTTCTCTGCAGTCACATTTTCACAAAGAAATGTGACTGCAGTACGTTGCCTCTGCTTCACTGTGGGAATATCTTTGAAATACTCTCACCAGAAGAACTGACATCCCTTGTGCTGGAGAACAAAAACATGTGAATGGCCTCAGAAGAAACCTGGGGCCTTTTTTGTCAATTGATTTCAAATGAAAGCTCTACATTTTAGTATGGACTATTTAAATTAAGTCCCCTGGTGTAATCCAGGCAAAGGCAAGGAAAGCTGCCCTGATGGCATTTTAGAAATTCTCCACTGGTGGAAGATCAAGATTTCCCACTCAGAAGTAATGGCAAATAACTATATTTTTTCCAAAAAAGATGCTTTTCTACAGAATCCTGGAAACCATTATTTTTACCTGGAAAATGTATTGTCACTGTAAATGGTATTTTCAGGCAGAGTGAGTATGTGCGTGAGGGAAGAGTGATTATAGCTGTGCAAAAGGTTCATAGTGGACTTTGAAACCTCTTGAACTTATCCTGGGGTTGAGGCTCATTGCATTTTGCAAACTTCTATAATGGGGCAATCTGCAATTACACTACTGTATCATACCTGTGCCTCTGTTCTCCCTTGCACTAGAAAGAATCTCATTGACTTCAACAAGCTTTGAATCAGGCCTTCATTGTTGCTAATTTGTTTGCAGTTAACATACATCTATATGAACTAATTTATTAATGTTATATTATACAATTACTTGTTCCCAGAGAGAAATGAATTAAAGAAATCAGCCAACAAATCTAAAATAAGTGTTTTAAATAAGCAACAGCTAGAATTATAAAGCAGAACATTGAAGTTAGGTTAAATAAAGTAAAGCAATCAAAGAATAGTACAAAAATTAGTGAGGTAAGAATGTTGTCTAAAGTTGCATTAGAATGTTGTCTAATGTGCAGAAACTGTGGGAGTATTCCTGATAGAATCCTTTGTAGTTTGTACTGTTTTATGCAACTGTGGATGATGGATTCTACTATTCTGTACATTATATCATTTTTATCTAGGGTATACAGTTCACACCTAGTTTAATTTCATAATTGTCATGTTATCTCAAACGATTTTTCATGATGTCATACAACAGGGACACTTGTGGACAAGCACTCACAGTACAACATGTTAATGGCATTGAGTTATCTACCATTAACAGTGACATAAGCATGTGTCACTGCTCTAATAAATTGTTCTGTACTTCCTACATTATAGCCTGATAATTGCAGAAGTGCAGTAATTTGACCGACCCCATGAGAGATAATTTCTGGAAATACCTTTGTCACTGGGTTGATTCAGTGCTTTTTAGAATCAAAGCAACTGATTTCAAGAAATGCAAAGGAATGCTGGAGGTATAATAGCAGCAATACATAATTGCATGGGATGCCTGCTTTCCATTTAAATTATTCAGAATTTTTCTGGTCTGTACTCCTTCACTTATACATCAACAGGCAGGAGTCTTCATGGTATAATTAAATACAGGAAAGACAAAACATATTTATTCCAAATAGGTGACAAGTAATAATAATACATTTACCTGCAACTTTTGGAACTGCATTCTCTCTCTTTAATGCCGTCCATACCGCAAGAGTGAATGCACTGTAACTGAAAAACAATGCAGATGGTTTACCTACCAACCTAATTTATTATACTTTTTATAATTCTGATCTCATTTGGATAGTGACACTCAATTAATTATGATTACTTCATTGTTTAGAGGGAAAGCAGGTTAGAGAAAAATATTTATTGTACCTAGTAGACTGCAAGGTCTAACAACATGATTCATGGTGGTAGCCTAGAACCAATTTTGCCTGTGAACACCATTCAATTACCGTAGGTAACTGAAAAACAGCTTCAAGTGCAAAACAATTAAAGAAGTGCAACTGTCTCCTATTAGTGAACTACTTTAGCAAAGTTTATCCAGTAAATAAAATAGGATTGCATGTGACCCGTATGTAGAAATGTGGAGAGAAGAGGAAGCACACAAGCAGCCTTTGCTTCCCCAACTGTGCACCCTTAAAAGGTGTGGGAAGAAAGTGATGCACAGCTCTCCCTCTCCTCTGTGCAATGCCTGGCAAAGCTGTGTGTCAGAGGATGTAAACTGAACTTCATGAAGAGGTATAGCAGCAGTCATAATACCTGCCTCTACCTGGTTGGTGCCGCCACTGGGGTAGTGCCTTTCAGGCACAATTAAGTCAAGGGAGTTTACATTGCTGTTTTGTTCTGAAGAGTGACTTTCTAAAAATGGCATCACGACATTCCAGGTTTATTTCTCACAGTTTCCATATCAAATGTAATATGTTTTTTCTCAGGACCAAACTCAAGCTGGGAAGTATCACTCAAGAAAGATTTTACTTTTGTACATTATCACCAGTAACAGACACACACTAGGCAAATTATGTCCTCAGTTACCCTTGTGCAACCCTACTGTCTTCCAATTATACGTTCGCTTGTATCTGTACAACGCCACATAAGGCTAATGGCGTTGTGCAGAAGTCAGTGAGTGATCTGACCTGCAGAACCTCGATTACTGATAATGGTGTGCAAGGATGAGAGAACCCAGCTTGTGCCTGAGAGTCCAGGTAAATTTACGGAATTGGCAAAGTATAATCTATTTACTTTTATACAGAGCAAATTCAATTTGGAATCAGTAAGACAGTAACCATGGAACTCCATATGCCAATTTTTTCAGAGTAACTTTTCAGAGTAGAACTGTACATTTAGAAACTGAGTTTTAAAAACCACGATAGTGATTTGAAATAATGATTATCAATCTTAAATCAAAATGTTTGTTATCAATTTAAGGCAGCAAAAATTCCTTAATCATATAGTAAATCAGCAAGGTGCGGTAGTACTCATTGTCTTGCCTCTGATAATGTTTACAATGTAGTTTAGAATTATGGAAATAATAACCTGAATATCTAAATAATCTTAATATTATTGGGTATATAAACTCAACGGTTAATAACTTGACAAACAATTTTAAGTAAAGTATTCCATGACATGTATGTCTTTATCTGTCTCGTTAACCATTTTATGACATTTTCTTTAAGATCAATATACAATTGGAATATTTTGATCAGAAAACTTTGAAAGTACCCGGGTGATAGTGTGGGATATGTGACCTTTCCAGACATAAATATCTACAGCTTTCAGAGCTGTACAAGCACCGGAAGGAAGCAGATCTTGGCACCACAGCAGCCTGGCCTATTCAGAGTCAGTTTGTTGCATATGCTCCAGAAGAACCAGGTCCATGTTGACATGTTAAAAAACAAGCTGGGAGATTTCATGAAGTCATGCGCCCACAGGTTATGTTTCATGGGCATTAGTTCTCTCTTTATGGCCATTCACCTCTAGTAATATTGGAGTAGCTGTCCTGCAAGTGTGGGGACAAATTGGATCCAAACCAAACTATGAACCAAGATTTTATTTTTTAAAAACAAAAGGCATTATTGGATTAAATCTGCTTCTATGTTCGGTTCTCACCCTAGTTACCAGTTTGGAACTTTTTAAGGGCTCCTCCCTTCTTCTCCAGGTATAGAAGGGTGTTGTTGGGAAAGGATAGGAAAAGCTCATCACCCTTATCCCCTTGCCCCAGTCACCTGTCATTTT